GGTTATGACTGGGCCACCCGCCTCCTGCCTGCTGGCGAGCGCCATCCGTCCTGGCCATGGCGGCACGGAGAGAACGCCGAAAGCCTGGGCTCGCACACGCAGTGTGCTGCCCTGAAGGTAAGATCGGGAATTTAAGGGGGTACGGCGCTTGAGCCAAAATGGCTTGAGCCAAAATGGCTTGAGCCAAAATGGCTACGGAGGAGGAGGACGAGGAGGAGGAGGAGGAGGGGGAGGAGGAGTCTTGCCGCACGCCACGGGCCCAGGAGGCTCGGGAGAGATCGTGCCCGGGAGGCGCTTCCCGTCGCGCCGCGCATCCGCCGCCTGCTCCCCAGGCGGCGCGCCCGCGGCGCGTGCCACTGCGCACATGCTCCTCCGATAGCTGCGCCCTCCTCCTCGTCCTCCTCCTCCTCGTCGTCGTCGTCGTCGTCATCCTCATCTCGGTCCCCATCATCGCCCCTTGTCCCTCCTCGCGCGTTGCGCCCCCCCTCATGCATCCTCCCTCTGCCCTCCATCCTTTTCCTCCTCATCCTCTTCCTCCTCCTCCTCGTCCCTTCCTCCCTCTGCCCTCCATCCTCCTCCTCCTCATCTTTCTTCATTCCTCTTCTTTCTCCTCTCATGCTCCCTGCTTCTCCTCTCTCATCCCCCCTCTCCCACCCCCCGCGATGTTGCTCAACACACGGCATTTTGCATGGCCTCACCGCCTTGCAATTATCATACTCGTTCCCTGCCGATGTTACCTCCATCGCCTTCATGCGCACTGATATCCCCTGACCCTCATCTTGCTCCCCGTCCTCGTTCTCGGTCTCATCCTTGTCCTCTTGCTCCCCATCCTCGTTATCCGCCTCATCATTATTATATTCCTCCTTGTCTTCCTCTTGCTCCTCGTCCTCGTCCTCTTCCTCCTCCCACTCCTCCTCCTCCTCCTCCTCCTCCTCCTCCTCCTCCTCCTCCTCCTCCTCCTCCTCCTCCTCGTCCTCCTCTTGCTCCCTGTCCTCGTCCCCCTCATTCGTATCCCTGTCCCCATCCTCCTCCTCCTCCTCCTCCTCCTCCTCCTCCTGCTCCCTTTCCTCCTCCTCCTCCTCCTCCTCCTCCTCCTCCTCCTCCTCCTCCTCCTCCTCTTTCTCTTCACATGCCCGGGCTCGATTCGCCATCGGACTCGCCATGCCTGCTCCTCCTCCTGACCCACCTGCCCCCTGGCGACTCTGCTTAGCACACTGCATCTTATCTCGCCACTCGCAGCCATTATTTTCCGTCCCATTCCCTCTTAGACCGACCGCCATGTTGCCCAACTTGATCCTCGTGTTTTCCCCTTCTCCGTCTCTTGCGGCGCCCTCCTCAGGAGGTCGGTGAGAGAGAAGGGCAGGAGGAGGAGGAGAAACGGGGAAGCAGGAATAGGGCAAGAGAGAGAGAGAGAAGGAAACGGCTGAAGGCCTCCTCCCCCTCCTGTTTCTCCTTCCTCCTCCTCGATCCTCCAATCCCCCTCGCCCTCTCCGACGAGCCGTGGCTGCGCAAGCCGGCGGGGTGAACCTTCACCCTCCTGCGCCCCTTGTCGCCCATCTCCGTTAACCGCGAAATAATCCAGCTCTCCATCCGACCGCTTGGGGCCCGTGCAGTAATGAAGGGACTCTGCCCCGAATGTCCTAGGGGACGTAAGGGTACCAATGCCGCTACTCCTTGCACCTCACCAGGGGTGCGTCCTGACCAACATTTCGAAGCGAATCCGTCCATAGCGACCAAGGAAGGGTATCGGTATCGGTATACCTCTTCCTCCTCTCAGTTGTAGGGATTGGGTCAGCCTCCTGGAGGCCAGCGAGGGGACGCGTAACCATCACCGAGAGTGTGTGGTGGGGGGGGGCATCTCACCGATCGGCACAGCCTGACCTCCCTGCCGATTGCTGCAATTTCTCTTGCTCCTTGCCTCCTCCACGTTCCCCCCACCTCGAAGATCGAGAATCTGGTGCCCAAGTTTGCAGGTTTAGAAAGGTTGAGATGCTAGCCAGCGTGGGCAACAACAAATGCGTCATTGCACCGTGGAGGTGAAAACTGTGCGGCGCACGCCATGTGGTGAAAGTTGTGTCGTGGAAGCTATTCGGTAGCAGCTATGGGGGTGAAGACTGTACAGCGACAGGTCTGCGGTGCAAGCTGTGCGGTGTAGGACGGGCGGTGCGAGCTGGAGACGAAAGCTGCGGGGCGCAAGCCGTGCAGCGCAAGCTGTGCTGTGTGGTGCAAGCTCTGCAGCGCAAGCCGTGTGGTGAGCGCTGCGCCGTGGGAACTTAGGGCACGGGGCGCCCGGGAGGCGCCCGGGAGGCGGCACGGGCGGCAACGTGGCGAAACCGAGGGGAGCCCACCCAACGCCCTGAGGGCTCCAAAAGGGAGGTTGGGGGGAGGGGGTTCTCCAGAGAGGCCCCCCAAGGGCCTCGGAACCTCGTCAAAGCAGGGGGGTGCGAAGCCCCTGGGGGACCCTTCAGGAAAAAAAAAACCTCCCCAAAAACACCCGTTGGAACCCTCCGGCACGCCCTCCCCCTTGCTTCCCACAGTACTCCATCACCTGCCTGCTTCAGTAGCCGGAATACCGTCTGACCTCTCAGCCCCTCGTACGCTTTTCTCTCTCTCTCTCTCTATCTTTTCTGTTTTCTCTCTCTCTCTCTCTTTCTCTCTCTCTCTGTCTCTCTACCTCTCTTTATATCCTTTTTTGTTCTCTCTCTCTCTATTGTCCTCCTTCCCTCCCTCCACTTTGGAGTCCCGAAACGGTGCGGTGACAGACCGTGCGGTGACCTCGAAATCCCTCAAGACCTCACCGCACGGTCCGTCAACGCACGGTTTTGGGATCTCGGATGCCCCAGTCGCCCGAGGCGTCCTCGGAGAGGGACTCGAGTCCCAAAGCTGTGCGGTGACCCCGAATCCTCACCGACTCACCACACGGTGTGGTCACCACCCCGTTTGGGGGCCCCGATCTATGTATTTCTGTCGCTCTCTTTTGAAGGGAAACGGGGACACACAAATAAATACACACAAATAAAAGTATCCCCCATATTTTCCCATATTTTCTGGGTTTTTGTCTTCCCGCCCACTTCCCATATTTTCCCATATTTTCTGGGAGTCGCCGATTAATTGTGTCTGTGTGTTTTTCCCCTCCTGATAATAGTCTCTCGATATATTCCACCAGCTCTCTCCAGGACAGCTGCTGAACGCAACCGGAAGGAATGGTAAAAAACTGATCCGCCGGCTCGACATGGCAATTACCGACATTGACGTATCGTGTAAGGTATTGAAGCTGGCCCAGGCGACGCTGCGCAAGAAAAGGGCGATATTCGAATATCGCATCATGTCCACAGCCTTTGTAATGCATGCGCACGTTCTGGCCAGCCAGCGCAGAATGCAACAAAGTTGATGCATTCCAAACCCGTTGCCCAAGGCGGCTTGCAGTTCTCAATCATTCCTAATACAGCCGTGTCAGCAATGCCGAAGTATTGCAACGGTGTGGTGTGCACAAATTCAATTCTGTACTTCTGCTCCGACAAGTACTCCTGCTGGGCCAGATCGCCCGCATGTCGAACGAGCACCCAACACGAAGACGCGCGCTCCGAATCGATTTCTTCGACCTTGCGTTGCCAGCGGCCCGGCGGAGAGGCAGGGACCGCAACACTTGGAACACACAAGTGACAAGCGCTTGAGCTCGTGTGCAGTGCGGCTGGCGGCAGAGATCAACCGAACGCATTGTGGGGCAGTGGTTCAGCAGGAGCAGAGTGGCGCACAGAGGCCAGACGTTCCATCTGCAGTGTACGAGTGTGTGTGTGTGTGTGTGTGTCGTTGTTGATCAGGCCTCCCTCCATCTGTTCCCTGCCTCCTGCGCCCTTTCCCCCCCCTTCCCCTCTGCGCTGCTCGGCAAAAAGGGCTTGCTGCGTAGTTTGCATCGCGAGTTCTACGGGTGAGTTTTGTACAATCAGGTCGAGCGCGCCCCCCTATAGAGGCGGATCTCAGACGAAGAATAAAACTACTCCCAAGATGCCCCACAAGTGTTCAAAAATAGGGAAACATTTGTCCCCAAACATTTGTCCCCAAATAGGGAAACATTTGTCCCCAAATAGGAAAAATAGGGAGTATTCCTCCTGTAGAATGACAGGCCCGACTGAAGCCTTGTTATGTAGTCTTCCTCACGAGTGTTACGGGGTGAGTTGTCAACGCCTGAGGTGTGTGCCGAGCTCCCCCCGCCCGCCTGCCTGCGGGGTGGCACCGTCGTCCCTCCCCTCGGCGGCGGACGAACCTCTCTTTGGCAAACCACCCTTTGGCGAAAACGGCCTGGGGCCGAAGCCGCCGGGCCTGGGCCTGCAAAGGTGACGGCCTCGACGCCCTCGCGCGAACCTAAGACGGCCAATTCGTCGCTAATCGACGTGTCTGGGCAGGAGGTTTTTATCAGCCTCCGACTCCCCTCCTTCGCGGTCCTGCCTCGTGCCTCTGCCCGCTCCCGCTCTCTCTCTCCTTTTCTCGTCCGTCGGGCCGTCGCCCGGCGCTCGCCCTCCTGCCCTCTTCGCTTCGGTCGGGCGCGTCCCCCTACAGGCGGATTTTGGAGGAAAAATGAAACACCAAACAATGCGAAGAGGCAAAACAATCGCCCCATACTATCTTTTAACTATGTTTGAGCACCCTCCCTGTAGAGGGACAAGCCCGACTTAACTCTTCGCGGCTGTCGCTCTCTGTCGCTCGTTCTCCTCCCCCCCCCCGGGGCTCCGGGGCTCATCCTGGACTCTGGGTGTCGTTCCCCTCCTCTGCCCCCCGCTGCCGTTGCGTTCCTGGGCCGTCCCCCTTGCGGGCCTCTGTGTTGAGCGGGCGTTGCATGAAGAGACGTTTTCGACAGTCCGTACCCATGGACTGTTGCCGTGTTTTGCACGGCGTCCCGTTGCTTCACGGCCGCGCCAGTTCTTGCCTCACCGCTTTGCCACTGCACCTTTGGCGTGCACGGCTTCCCTATCTCTCTCTGTCGCGCTCACTTCAGATTCTCCCTCCCCTCTTGAGGAAGCACAGCGGCAACACACGCTGCCAGGAGGAGGCGCCCATCCGAGGCAGGAGGAAAAGCAGGCGGAAGTGCAAATCCCGCTTTTTTTTATCCGCCAGCCCGTAAAGCGTGGATCCGTCTAACATGCTGGCGTCGCGGCAATCCTGCCACAACCACAAATCAGTTCGCTTTGCCTGTGCAGTTGCATCAAGTCACATGGTCGACCTCGGGCCTTCAACATCATGCCCGCGTTGCCAAACTCAGTGGAACGTTGCAGACGCCAAGCGCCTCCCAACGCCGACGACTGGGGAGCGGGCTATGACGCACGACATGCAGCTGTCCACATGGCTGGCTCCAGGAGCCCAGCCTAAAAAAAAATAACGATGCCCCTGGGGAAAATCAGAAGTACCGATGCCGCCACTCCCCGAGACGGCTCTCCCGCGGCGCGCTCTGACCAGCATCTCGCAGCGCATCTCCGGCGGTGGGCGGTGGGGGCGAGGGATCCCCTAGGAGTCCCAGAAACGAGGGAACGCGAGGGAAGGGTAGAGGTATTGGGTACTTGTTCCTCCTTCTGGCCGACTCCTCCTCCTCCTCCTCCTCCTCCTCCTCCTCCTCCTCCTCGTCCTCCTCCTCCTTCTCCTCGTCGTCGTCCTCCTCCTCCCAGAAACCCATCCAAACGTATGATGTCTCGCTGTTGATGTCGTCGCCTTCCGCCAGCCTGCCGCCTGCCTTCGCCGCAGGGCCCGCCGCCGTGCTGAGCTTCCTCTGGCCCTCCGCCGTGGGCGAGGCGCTCTCCGAAGAAGGCGAGGCCCCGTCCCAGCAGTCGGCAGCGCAGCCCGGGCGAGGACGGGAGCACGCCGAGCCGCGAACTCCGGCACAAGACGTACCAGGAATCTGGAACACACACGCACACACACACACTCACACTCACTCACTCACTCACACACACACACGCACGCACACATACACACGCACACACACACCAACACACGCACACGCACACACACGCACGCACACACGCGCACGCACGCACGCACGAACGCACACCCACACACACATACACACAAGCGCACACTCAAACACACACGCACGAACGCACGCACACACAACACACACACACACACTCGCACACATTTTCTCATACCCACGCACACACACACACACCCGCACACACACACTGACACACACACACACACACACGCACGCACGCACGCACGCACGCACGCACGCACGCACATACTCAAGCACGCACGCACGAACGCACGCGCACACACAAGTGCGCACACAAACACACACACACACACACGCATCCACGCACGCACGAACACACACACACACACACACATGGTGGAATCGCAGGTATAAAATGTCCATGGCCTGCGCGCCAGGTGCACGTGTGGAGGGCCAGCGCGCCTGGCCACAAGGGCCGGGCGCTGGAAAAACACACGCGCGGCCACACGTGCAGCCAGCTTCAAGGCACAGCTCGAGAAGGCACGCAACACTGTGTGTTTTTGGGGGGGTCTGGGGGGCACAGCGCTGAGGGTCTCCGCGCGGTCAGGGGGCCGCGCGGTCACCAACTGCTCCCGGACAGACTGCTTCAGTGGCGAGGCGGTCCTGGGGGAAGGACGGAGTAGCCCAAGCCAAGTGAGGTCAGACCACATGCGCACTCTTTTGGCCTCGCGCGCAGCGACGAGGAGTAGAAGGTCGAAGAGCGCGCACACACTCACACACACATCATAGAACATCCAGGCCATGACCGAGAGGGCTTCGTGGGGATGCCCGGTGGCCCACGCCTCTGGCCCAGTGCCTCGATCAACTGACTGTGGCTGAGCACGCGCAAGACGTGCAGACCGTTGCTGCAGCTCCAGGGGGCGAGACGGCTGGCACGCAGCTGGGGTCCCGCCGGGGGTGAGGTGGGCGGACGAGGACGAGGAGGAGGAGGACGAGGAGGAGGATGAGGACGAGGAGTAAGAGGAGGAAGAGGAGGGATGGGGGGAGGAGGGAGGAACACGATGAGGGTCATAGGGGAGGGAGGAGGAGGAGAAGAAGGTGGGGGAGGATGACAGGAGGACGCGGCAAAGGGAGGAGGAGGAGCCTCTACAGGTCGCAACGCAGGCTCCCTGAAGCCCCTTGACCAACGCGCAGTCTGGTGCCCTCCCGCAACGCCCTCTTCGCCAAAGGGGACCCAGAGTGAGCCAGAACTCGTGGGATTGCCCTGCGGCGTATAGGCAATGCAACTAGCACTTGCACACCGACATCGCGACAAGCGAGGGAACGCAACGCATGATAATACCGATGTGTATGTGTGTGCGTTGTTTTACTCGTCCTGCAAGACACAGCCAGGCATCGAACCATGATTCCCAACTTGGTAAGGTGAGACACGGTGTGGGCGGGAAATGGGGACAAAGCAAATATAACATACAAAAACAGCACATCGGGATGCCTTGTAAGGCACGGCAATACTGACCGCGCCGCCCCTGACGAACCCGATCATTTACAAAGGACGTATTAACGAAGGAGCTTCTCGCCAACAATTAGCCTGGCGAAGAGGCCTTTCGGTACAAGCGAACAAAGGGTGCTCTGCTCTCCATACAGGATGCGATACGTGTGTGAAGAGGGGGTGTGCAAGTTCGGCATCCACCCCCCACATGCGTGCCAACTGAAGCCACAAGTAGAGCTTCCCGTGGGGCACGATCCGCGTGGTGTAAAAGTGTGCGTGTGTGTGTATGTGTGTGTGTGAATGTGTGTGTGTGTGTCGCACTGGAACGGGGAACGCAGTGCGAACTTGCCCACTGGTGCCGTAAGTGGAGCTTCCTGGTGGGACACGAGAAGTGTGAGGCGTGCGCCAGATAGAGCGCGGCATGCGGCCGCTGTCCCACGTCTGTGGGTGGAGGCCCCCGTTGGGCACGAGACGCGTGAGAGGTGTGCACAGGCGGGCAGGGACCGCCGAGGAGGAGCAAGGGGAGGAGGAGGAGGAGCAAGGGGAGGAGGAGGAGGAGGAGGAGGAGGAGGAGGAGGAGGAGGAGGAGGAGGAGGAGGAGGAGCGGGAGCGCAAGTAGCTGAGCGCCGAACGTCGCCCCAACTACCTGCTGATGGCAGCCTGCGCCGTTTTCAATCGGTTAACGCACGCAGAGTGCATCTGAGGAAGCGACGCAGCGTGCCGCACTGTGCTGCACAAGCGAAAGCACAACACAATGTAAGCATGAGCACGCTCGCGCTAAAATTGTGTGGTCTGAAAATGCGGGAGCGCAAGCCCGAAACGAAGCAAAGGATCCAGAGGCAGAGGAGATCAAGCAAGGGACATAACACCGAGGAGGCGGGGACAGGAGAGGTAGTGGGGAAAAACGCCAGGACACTTGCGACAGCCGAAAAGGCACGATCTGGGTGTTTCCACCTTGACCCTGTGTGTGGTCTCCTGCTATAGTTTTCAAGTGGGCCCAAATCAATGCTGGCCGCGAAGCCAATACAACCAACCTCAACTCGGACCATGCCTGCCGTAACTCTGCAACTGGTGGGGCGGCGCGTTCACCCAGCCACTTTTCGCATCGACGCCTGAGGAGATGAGGCATGGGGTCAGGGAAGGGGGAGGTGATCAATGAGGAAATGTAGAGGCCTTAGGGTATGGGTCGGCAGTGCGATGCGACGGCATCAGCACAACCACGAATGGCAGCCTGGCTAGCCACGTGGAGACGCGAGCGCGAGAGTTGATGCCAAGGCGTGCCACTGACAGCATCCGCCCAGCGCTGCACAATCGCTCGGGGCTCCTTCCAGAACTGGCATGACCAGTTTCCTTGGACAACCTGACGTAGGGAAAAGGAGTCTTCTGCACTACTGCGGAATTCCTTCATCAGCGCGGCCAAACCAATCTTGAAGTGTAAACGCCGGTGTGCTCCAGAGATGGGCCTGGCTCCACGGAGACAAGGGCCGATGCCGCCCACCGCGCAGCCAAATACAAAGCGAGTGGAGGGTGGGGCCGTCGAACGAATTAGGTGGGAGGCGGAAGATACGGCGCAAGAGGCCGAGCTCTCGGGAAAGCATGACGACGTCTAGAGATTGAAAACATGTGGGCCAGATAGGACAGGACGGGGAGGGCAACAGACGAGTATGACCGAAGCGACGCATCGGCAGGGGGAAGTAGGGATGATGCAGGGGCGTTCTAGCCACTTCTGCCCGGCTGCTTTCTACTGGTCGAGGCTTGTGGCGCCAGGCCCCATCAGCACCCCCAAGTAACGAGCACCCCCCTCCACTTTAAACCTCGACCATTCGGGTACCAAATATCAAATCGATTCCGAAATCGTGAGACGGGTCCCCGGCGATACCTCGCACCGCAACGGAACGAGGACGGTTCTGGCCGTCTGCAAACATAGAGCGGCGAGACTTTCCGCCGCCACGAAAACTGGTCGTAGTATCTGGAGCGCCGTCAGATGTTGAATTGCAGCCCCGACATCGTCGGCGCATGCTCCCGCGTCGCCATTTATGGTCTCCACCAGGTCGGTGTGTAGGTGGCGCAGCAGCGGGTCCATCGCCAGAGCCCATAGTGCGCCAGAAAGTGGGCAGCCTTGGGCTACTCCGCCCGTCGCCCAGAACATGGATTCATGCATGTGAGCCACTCTGCAGAAAACCAAGCTGTTCTCGTACAGCGCCATGATCGCGTTGATGAAGCCATCCGGAAAAAAAAAAAAACCGGCGTAGCACGCGCCATAGCCACCGCCGCGCCAATGATGGGAAGGCGGCTTTTATGTCGAAGCTGACGAAGCACGACTTATCCTCCATGACAGATGACTTGTTTGGGAATGAACCCTTGCTGTAGGGGATGCGCCTCCTTTTGTGCAGCCGTATTGAGCATCGCGTTGATGGTGGCTGCCAAAAATCTTGCTGTCGCTGTTATTGAGAAGCAGAGGTTGGAGCGCGTGAACACGTCGCGGGTCTTCCACTCGATCCCCTGGCTTGTCGCCTTTGGGTAAGACCACCTTGTTACCGTAGTTGGGGCCAGGAGGGACAGGAAGCCCCGAGGACAGGTGCAGCGTCATGTCGTAGAGACACTCCTTGAGCTTGTCGGGCGCGTCCCACTCCGAGTAGGTGAGCCGATCTAGGCCTGGTGTGGTGTCCGTGCTCCTGGCGATGACGGTGCACATGTCGTTGCAGGTGGCGTCGCGATGTCATGCGCCGTGCGCCACGGCATGCGTCATTCGAGGTAAGTGTGAATGTCTGCTTCGCTCACCGCTGTGTCCTGGAAGATCGGCTCCCAATGTTTGAGGATGGCCTTGACAACGTCCTCAGGCTGTCGCGCCACTCCAGCCGCATCATAATGAGGATCACCCATGAGCCGCTGAAATTATCCAGGCTGCGCCATGCGAGCTCTTGCCAGGACAAGTCGAAATCGATGTTGCATCCACCGCATAGCTCGGCGCTGCGCGTTTCGGGCCATCTTGCGGGCAGCAGCCGCGCTGAGCTGATATTCGGCACCTGCCTGAAGCCGTTGATGTCGCTGGAGTTGATCGGCAGCATGTTTTTGTTGACGTTCCACACACGCAAGATTCAAAACCCTATTGTAGCTCTCGAAGTCGCTGACATCAGTGGTGCTCACCTGGGTTTCAAAGGGCGACGGCGTTGCAATTGATGGTCAAGTATTTTTTCCCCAGCTCCGTGGTGGCCACCAGCCGTGCCGCCAATCGCATGTCTTGTTTCCAGACACACCGCGCATTTGATAGCATTGTGAGCCGCCTCGAACCCTCGGGCCTCTCGGATAACTCTCCAACGGGAAACTGCGACAACTCGTTCCTGGTCTCCCGGGCGGCGTTCGTCATGATCTCCTTGCACGTTTGCCAGGCTCCGGTCGTGCTCAAATGCTCCCAAGCTGTAGCATGAACGTGTTGTGCAACGCGTGACTTGAAACACTCGTGTTTGAAAATGAATGCGGGCATGCGTTGATTTCGTTTGCTCATGTTCGTTTTCGTCTGCAGCTTGATCTCGACGATGGCATGGTCGCTCAACTTCCAAACGCTTAAATGTTGTACCTCTTGCAATACCGTGACTGCGCAAGCCGTTTCTAAAAGAAAATGCGATGAAGCCGCAAAGAACACCCTGTGAATGTGGCTGCAAGATTGGTGGTGGGCCGAGATATGTGTAGGTAAATTCGTCTCTCCATCATGCCGCCCGTCGTAAA